ATCCTGGAGCATCAGCTACTGAAGATAATGCTGAAGATGGCTATCTGGTACACATTGTTGAGCATTGGGAGGAAAATGAAGCAGCAAAACTACGGACCATACATGTATACACTAATGCCCCATCAGTTGAGCTTATAATTAATGGACAATCACAAGGAGTGAAGGAGCTAGTGTGGCAAGGCTGGGCACAGTGGGATAACATAACTTATGAAGCTGGTTATATCACAGCAACAGCTATTGATGACAAAAACTCTGTAGTAGCAACACACACAGTATTAACAGCTGGGGATGCTGAAAGGATACGAGCAATCATTGATGTTCCTAATGAAGACACTGGAACAGGATCAGCTCTACTCCTGGATGGACAAGATGCTGGTATGGTGAGTGCTGCTTTGCTTGATGGAAGTGGTAAGATTGCTCACGGTTCCTCACTTAATGTGTCATTTAGTATTGTGAGTGGACCAGGAAGGATTGTAGGAGTTGGCAATGGAGACCCAGCCTGTCATGAGCCAAACCAAGCAACATGGAGGAGTGCTTATCATGGCCTTGCTCGGGCAATTGTACAAGTGACTGAAGACCAAGTAACACCAAACAGGCACCGGATTATACAGATAGACAGAGATGGAGGTAAAAGGACTCTCATAGGAGATCCAACAGCTTCAAGAGCATCACTGGATGGTATAGTAGTAGAGGTATCTGCTCCAGGAGTTGGTACTGCAACTGTAACTATACCTGTTAGCACTGACCCTAGTGACGGAGTTCTTACCACAGCCAGAAAAACCCGCCAGTAAAAATATATAATGCTACTGCTTATAATACATAATGCTTGATATATATAATGCTATACTGCTACTGCTACTGCTTATAATCTAACTTTGCTATAACCTAACTGTTTTATAGTTTTCATTACAAAAGATACCAATCTATATTGATCTGTGTGTTAATGTGAACTTCATTTGTGATGTAAATGCATGAATATCAAACCTGCATTGTGCTTATAGATTAAATCAATTTTAACTTCATAGGCTATGAAGTTGTTTGGAAGTGAGAAAGACATCATCACACAGGCCCAATACTACTAGGCAATAAAGATAATAAAGTGACAACCCTATGAATAAGCTAGCAAAGCCAATCTCAGTTTCATTAACACTTATAGATCTATCTACATAAACAAATGGCATGATTTATCATAGATAATTGTCAAAGGGCACATCTTTGAATTCACTTTTGGTAACTTCTACAAATGTTAGAAAAACAAATAACATTGGAAATGGAAATGAATGTTAAAAGAGATCTGCCTTAAATAAAAATAATCAATAAATTTGCTGCAATGCTGGCATTTTTGATGACATTCATAAAAATGAATAATCTGATACAGTCAATGAATTACAATATAACACTATATATAGAATGAAGCTATTTACTTTTTCATATCTCAGCATTTAATATGTCTAAGCTTCTATCTATTTTGGTTCTAGCTCTTTTATTCCACAGTTCCTTTTCCTTCTCAGCTTCCTATAAAGAAGCATTTGAAGTCATAGAAAGAGAAGTTGTCAACTTTAACTATGCATGGCGCTTCCAGGAGGGAAATTATGATATAGTTTCCTGCCCTGACAGTGACTTTCCAATTGAGTTTAATGATGTTCAGTGCTTTGGTCTATTCCCAGTGGCCACAGCAAGCAATAGTGATGACTGTCGTGGAGCATGTTGTGGTAACGTAATGTGTTCTGTGTGGCAGTTTTCTGACTACAGTGGTTGCTGGATAGGTAAGATCACTGACTGTCATGCACCAGATATTGGGAGAGTTGGTCGAGGTGGTCGAAAAACTCCAGCTCAACCTCCTCCACCTACAACAAATGAAAGGACTTCTCATGATTACGATGACAGCACATGGGAGATAGTGGATGCACCTCATGATGCATTCATTAATGGTGAGTATGATGAAAAAGGTTCAACAAGACAAGGCTATCTTCCAAAGAATGTGACTTGGTATCGCAAACACTTTAATCTACCAGCCGACTGGAAGGGAAAGGTTATATGGGTGTACTTTGAGGGAGTTTTTAAAGGATCAAATATTTATCTGAATGGACAGCATCTCCATTATGAGGATTCTGGTTACACTAGTTTCACTGTTAGGCTTGACAAGGCCTCCAGTATATTTTTTGGTGATGGTCAAGAGAATGATAATGTACTTGTAGTCCAAAGTACCCCAAACTTCGGTTATTCTGGCTGGTGGTATGAAGGAGGGGGCATTTATCGTAACACGTATCTTGTTGCTGCTGATGTCATTCATTTCTTACCTAATGGAATTTACGTTGCCACTACAGTCAATGGAGACTTTCACCCACACTATCCAGGGGATATCAGTGAAGGAGACTATGTAGATTCAGTGACACTTGATATCAGTATGGATGTCATCAATGACGACAATCAAGAACAAAAAAGATACTATCAAATTACAGTTTTTGATGCAGATGGAAGGCAAGTGGGTTACACCATGTCACC